GGGGTTGGGGTAACACTAGTGTTATAACCGTGCCTTGGTACATGTGGGGTTGGGGTAACACTAGTGTTGGTACATGTGGGGTTGGGGACTAGTGTTATAACCGTGCCTTGGTACATGTGGGGTTGGGGTAACACTAGTGCTATAACCGTGCTTTGGTACATGTGGGGTTGGGGTAACACTAGTGTTATAACCGTGCTTTGGTACATGTGGGGTTGGGGTAACACTAGTGTTATAACCGCGCCTTGGTACATGTGGGGTTGGGGTAACACTAAGTGTTGGTACATGTGGGATTGGGGACTAGTGTTATAACCGTGCCTTGGTACATGTGGGATTGGGGTAACACTGAAAGGTCACACAGTCCATGTGTCTGTGGCTGTTCCCACGTCCGTAGAACCAGTCCGTAAAGGCCTTCGCGGCTGTCACACCCTGCACCGTCACCCCCGCCGTCCATGTATTGTGTTCCGTAATTATAAAATGTTTCTTGCAGTTGACTATAAACATCCCGTCCTGAGGTTTCAGTAAACCCGGCAGAGTTTCCGAGATTTCCCGGCTGAGGTTTTTCAGTCCTTCCCGCTCGCTCGCTCCCCTGCAGGTTTTGGGAGTGCATCTGGCCTCCAGGCTGTTGTCTAACATCCAGGCGTCGTACACGTAACCAGCGACAAACAGCGGCGCAGACTGGTACTGCAGCAGGCCGAACGGCTCGTGGCACTTCAGCGTCAGGCCGCTAGGGTCCGCTTCTTGCAGGCACGCTTTGGGAACGGATCCTGGTGTGTGGATGAATTATGAAACAAAGAAACAGTCGTGTTACAGCAGGGACATTTAGCAAGCAATTCACCCAGGGTGATATTGCCATGCCTGCAATGATATAAATCTAAGACAGCAGGCACAATACCACGCTGTGCAAGAAAAGGACGTACCGCATCTTTTTCCGTCACAAGAAAGCCGAAATTAATGAACAAACCCACGACTGTACTAAAAATTGCTATAGTCAATAGTAAACCTGTCTCGGTCACAAGCAAAGAACCTGTCAGTCACCGTTAGTCTCTACCAGGCTTCGGGAGGCAGCTGGAAAGAGCAGAAGTTTGCCAAATAGAGATAATATGCCAGGGAAGTTGGTCTGCTAGAGAGTCTTTTTTGTCGCATCCAATTTCTACTTTTCTCAGCCGCCTCCCGAAGCCTGGTAGAGGCTGAATTTTTACCGCAGCGTAGGGAAGAGAAACTTACTTGCGGCGTGGTGCATGATGACGGCCGGGAACAGCGTCGTCTCGTTAAAGAACCTGCCGGTCCGGACGCTACGTAACATCGGGAACGCCGCGGACGCCGCGAACACCCGGAAGTTCACGGTCAGGGGCAGCTGTTCCCGGAACCAGGAGGCGTGCCTCAGGACGGCAACGGCACCGGCTACGGAGGGAGGGGAGGGGCAATATATGGACATGAAATACATTAAATTGTACAGACAAGTACGGAGGGTAGAACAGGAGAAAGAACACGGTCACGGGCAGCTGTTCCCGGAATCAGGACGCGTGTCTCAGGACGGCAACGGCACCGGCTGAGGGGGGGGGGGTAGGAGGAATGGATATCAGCATCTTTCTAAGACAAGACGGCAGACAACATCGCTTCAGTCGTAACATTAAATCTTGTAGTCTTATTGCTCAGTTCGGTAGAACCTTCAGTCCAAGGGCCCATGAGACCAAGGAGGTTACAGGATCACTTCCACAAGACGGTTCAGCCTTACACTTTAAAGTTCCTATCAAGTGGAAATGTTTGAAAGACTACTTTTTTTACACCCTACTTTGTATCGTAGCGATTCGCCCCAGTTCCATCTCCCAAAGGAAACAACTTCAACACCGACGTACCAGAAAATCCGTGGAATATGACGTCAGTGGCTTGGGCCAGGCCTCTGGTTAAAAGGTCAGCTACGATAGCATGCAATATCCGCTTGCCCCGGAAGTACAACCTCCTCCCGCTATGCACCACGACATCAGCTCTGTCCCCTGTGAGAGATCGGTTAGGACATTTTATCAACACATTTACAGCTTACCGCGACGGGAGCCGACATCGTCTACCAGATAACTTTGACCCAGTGTTGACGTCACACTTCAAAGAAGCCACGTGACAAGCCTGACTGGGTAAGTCTACTGAGGAAGACCAGAGTGACTGGTCGAAAGCTCTAGGTGAGAGAACTTTTGTGTTGGATCTAAATTTTGAATTCTAAACATGTAACTACCAACACAGATGAACTTTCATGACATTTACAAGTACATACAGGTAAATTTATTGATAAAATTGACAGATAACGTGCAAAGGCAGCAGACTGACTTTGTTGTAAACTTCCAAACTCACCTGAGAAGAAGAAGCCGTCGCAGTAGACCGCCTCCACCATGTTCCAGTCCCAGAATTCCGGGTTGATGGTTTTATCTGCGCTTCTCAACGCGTGGCCTTTCGTCTGTGGAGACAGAAAAAAAACGTGACTTTCGTCTGCGAGAACACAAAAAGTGACCTCTCGTCTGTATTTACACCACCACAGATACAGCCGGCCGGTCATTCTCTTACGGCAGAAAATTTGGGTAAGTCCTAATTTATTCAGTGTTGGCAAGAACGTTTAGTCCTTTTTGTCATGATGTTTCCTACCGTGTTGGCGAGTTTCCTGGTGGTACCCGGCCCCAGCCCTTTGGTCTGCAAAGTGCGTTTTCTGCAGGCCTCCAGCGTGAAGCAGGCCTCTCCGCCCGGCAGGTAAATCACCCACTTCCTCAGGCCTGCAGCAACACCTGTAACAGGTAACATGGGCAGGTAAATGTGCTGAACACCTGACAGGTGAAGCAGGCCTCTCCGTCAGGCAGGTAGATTATCCACCTCCTAACGCCCGCGCCAACACCTGTAACAGTACATGGATAGGTACAACCAGTAACAGTAACAACCAGTAAATCCTTTTCCATTATAGTATAATACTGTAGCATTCAGATCGTCCTGAAGTAAGTTACCGTTCCTGTGAGTAATGTTAGATCTAGAGGTAAGCTTACCCGGCTGGAAGTAATATCCGGGCGCGGAACCGTCCAGACAGAACGCTCCCGTCTGGTTCGCCGCGTGTGTGGACAGGAGCCGGAGCTAAGGGAAGACGGGATAAAAAAAGTATAAAATATGTTCAAAAACCTGGCACATAACGTTTTAAGTCTGCTGCTGACAAACTTGGCACATAACGTCTTAAGTCTGCTGAGGACAAACTTGGCACATAACGATGTGCGAAGAACGGACAACAAAGACGAGAGACCACTTTTCTAAACCTGGTGCTTGCCGAAGTTAGATAGAGTTCATGTTACGAAATGCTACACGTTATAGTCTGCCTACAAAAGAACACACGTTTGTGACCATGAGTTAGCTGATTTTTTTCTGGTTGAGTTGGTGTGCCACAAAAAAACAACTTAATTTTTGGCTCTTTCTATTTGTTCTATTTGTCTGTGTAATATCTGAGTGAACACTTTGCAAACCAGTCATACAGTCATCTGTACGCTTACATAGACTTGCACGTACCTGCATTTGGGGCCGTTCGTCTCTGTCTGCGGAGGAGTTGGCAACTAAACTTGAGTTGAGTTGGTTTCTGATGACATGAAAAGGCGACCATTTCTGTACAACCTCCAGCCGGCTGGCGGATTTTTCCTCGTCTTGGTTTGAGGTTTTCTGACACCGGAACGCGACCTGCGCCGCGCCCAGGAAACACATCGTCGCCACAAGGATCTTCAGCAGTTTTCTTTTCGTCTTTAATCTTTTCATAATGTATATAATAGCTGGGACGTCTTCAAGGGTTTCCACAGAATCACTTTGCATCGCCTCAGGAATCTACATGTACAAGTCAGGCATCTACATACAAGTCTACAAACGCCTGTCCTTTTCACAGAAACATGGCTTTAGGCGGGATCACCTGAGCGTGACGTCACCTGACCTTACCGGAACATGACGTCACCTGAGCTCACCGGAACATGACGTCACCTCTCCTTACCGGAACGTGACGTCAGCAGCAGCGCCGCGCCGCTTGACCGATGACCTGCCCCGGATCTGTTCAGACCAAGCTGCTTCTGTGACGCGTCACCAGCAGCCAGGCGGTCAGCAGACTACACAGGGGGGCTCCATGGCGTTACGCGGGCTCACACACGCCAACACGAGCCCAGTCCGGCCACCAGCAAAGAACCTGGCTAGTTTCTGTGGCAGGTTGTTACTACAGAGCAGAAAACAGCCGACAGAACCGGGTAAACTGGAGCACTGTTCCAGGCGACGTGTAGTTTGTTGACACTCTCCTGTTGCACCTTCCCACGGCTTGTCGCGCGGCGGAAAACCGGTCCAACCTGTTCGGGCCGCGGGGCGGAACAATCGGCAGCGTAATGGGGTGGTTACAATTTCACGCCTGAGAACCCGCGGTTAATGGGGGGGATTTGCAGAGGAAAATGACACTGTGTATCAGATCAGCGAAGATATGATATATCTTCACACACACACACACACACACACACACACACACACACACACACACACACACACACACACACACACACACACACACACACACACACACAGCGATAATTACTGCTAAATCCTGGCTAGTCATAGCTGACAGTTACTTTACATAACATATCTACATGCTAATGACATCAAGACAATTTATGCTATTATCTACATAACAAGTGCTTTTTAGTACTTTAAACCGTCCAGAAGTGCTACTATGAAGTATCATTTTCTGTCTGGCCCGAGAATCGCACGCAGGTCTAACTAATACGGGTTAGTGGATCGGCGAGATGATGTTTGAAATGTTCGTGCAGGAATGGGAAAACTTGCATCCATTTCAGTTGCCTGGCTGCAAACTGAGACTTGTACAACCATGGGGACATTCTTACGTGGGTGTTTTGAACTTTTTCATTGTTGCTTTTTGTGTTATCTTTGTAATTACTACTTTAGATATGTACATTATACCCTTCGTAAGTCTTTCTGTTTATCCTTTTCCGTGGCGTTGCTTTAGCTGTAGCAACATTGCCCACCGTACAAATGTGCCCCCCCCCGGTCTAGGTAGGGTTAATCATAATGATCACGTCCGCACGCGTGTGGCAATGGTTTGTGTAGGTCTGGCTTAAGTTTGCACCTGATGAAAACTCATATCCACTATTTCTATGTTCAAACACATGTAGGGTTAGGATAACAGTCCAACCCCACACAGTCTACCCACATGTAGGGTTAGGATAACAGTCCAGCCCCACACAGTCTAACCGCATGTAGGGTTGGGATAACAGTCCAGCCCCACACAGTCTAACCGCATGCAGGGTTAGGATAACAGTCCAGCCCCACACAGTCTAACCGCATGTAGGGTTAGGATAACAGTCCAGCCCCACACAGTCTAACCACATGTTGGGTTAGGATAACAGTCCAGCCCCACACAGTCTAACCGCATGTAGGGTTAGGATAACAGTCCAGTCCCACACAGTCAATGTGCCTGTGACTCTCCCCCCGCCCGAAGTACCAGTCTCCGAACGCATGCGCGATGGATTTCCCGCCAACTCTGGTGGAGGCCCATGTCCCATCATCCACCGCGATCGTGTGCGTCACGCAGTTGGCGAGGAAGATGCCGTCGCCCGGTCTGAGCATGCGCGGAACTTAGTCCAGCATAGCGGCGCTCCAGGCTTGGAGTTTGGTTTTGTCCGAGTCTCGACACGAGTTCGGCTCGCACCTGGGGGATCCCGGGAAACAGGAGATTTATCATTAACACTCATTTAAATATTAAACATCAAAGTAGCCGCTGCGAGCAAAAAGGCTAAAAATAAGTGTTCTAGCTGATGTATTTAAAGTCTGGAGATGCTGACGGCACAATTGAAACACAGAGAGACATGGAAATGCAGGGGAAAAGGCAAATAAACAGCTTTAGTATTTAGTGATAAGTATGTTAATTCACAACCTGAACCAAGAGAGTGTACTTACCAACATCGTTTACAATTTAAGGTGTAAGAGCACGTCCGATGCAAAAGTTAACTGAAGTACAGTAGTTTCTCCTACTAGTACCTGACATGCGGCAGGTTCTCTAACGACCACCTGTCTAACACGACCTTAACTCACCTGACGTGCAGATGGCTCTCTAACGACCACCTGTCTAACACGGCCTTGACTCACCTGACGTGAAGGAGGTTCTCTAACGACCACCTGTCGTACACGGCGTTGACGTAGAACGCGTCGGCCGGCTGGACGGGAACGAGGTTGGACGGCAGCAGACAGGCGTACTCTTTGGACGGGTGTCTCCGCACGCATGCGCGAGGGATTGTGCCTACACACGGCAGCAAAGAGAAAATAAATCAGTATGAATAGGACAGATTTTGTTCAAAGAGCAGCTACATCAGAAATGTTTTGTACATGGTTGCACCTCAGAAAGCGGAAAAACATGCCTGAACTTGAACTACCTGAGGAGTTGTGTAAAGTCTGCCATGGTCTGTAGAATGTCCTTGATTCCCTTCGTATAGGAGCCTTTGAAGGGCACTTTGGGCTGCAGCGGAAGACACGAAAAGCTTGAAGTCCACTCCGCGGGAGGAGATTTCTGAGGCGGTGCGCGTTTAACAGGACTCCTAAACCTCCAGCTGGATTTAAAAAAACACACAACTTACCTAGACAACACTAACACAGCAATAAAACACAAGACAACACAACAATAAAGTCCACTCCGGCCGGGAGGAGATTCCTGAGGCGGTGCGCGTTTAACAGGACTCCCAACCCTCCAGCTGCAGCAAAAACACACAAACTTAACTACACAACAATACAACACAACAATACAACACAACAATACAACACAACAATACAACACAACAATACAACACAACAATACAACACAACAATACAACACAACAATACAACACAACAATACAACACAACAATACAACACAACAATACAACACAACACAACAATACAACACAACAATACAACACAACAAGACAACACAACAAGACAACACAACAAGACAACACAACACAACAATAAAGTCCACTCCAGCCGGCAGGGCATTCCTCAGTCTGTGCGCGTTCAACAGGACTCCTAAACCTTCAGCTGGATTATTTAAAACAACAACTTAACTACACAACTATAAAACACAACTGTACTTGCACCGTTTGTCAGTGCCAGCACGTAAGTTTGTAAGTACTGTACCGGAATGTTCGAAGAGGACCACCCTGACGGCCTGATCGCAGCAGTGCTAGGCATACCTTGTGTAAGTTTGTAAGAACAGTTTGTGGTAGTATGTAAGTGTATCAAGTACCAGAATATAAGGATGCAAGTTGGTAAGTACTGTGCCTGAATGTCCGGAGAGAATGACCCTCACGGCAGCCGCCATGCCTGGGCGCTGTAGTAGTAAGTGTGTGTGTAAGTTTGTACCTGTACGTAAGTTTGTACAGGAAGGTAATAATAATATTATAAGTTTTTACAGGAATGTAAGGTTGTACAGGAATGTGAGTTTGTACCTGAATGTCCGAACAGAATGACCCTGACGGCAGCCGCCATGCCTGATCGCAGCAACTCTCGGAAAATCTCGTCCAGCACGCGGCGGCCTCGCGAGAACAGCTTCGTGCCGTTGTAGAAAATCGGCGAGCTTCTGTCACCTAAAAATATCCAAACGTGTTTATTGAATAATATATAATGTTTGCCTTCATGCCACGTGACTATGTACGTACAGGATTGTCTACCATTTAACCTGCGAACGAGAACCGGTCACAGTAGACACTAACCTGCGAACGAGAACCCGTCACAGTAGACCAATGAGATGGCGTTCCAGTTGTGGAAATCTGGGTTGAGTTGCTTGTCGCCAGACAGGATGCCGCCCAGTTTTCGCCACTTCCCGGACCTCTGCAGGCTGCCCAGGAGGGTTTGGGACCGCTGGTAGCAGTCCTCTTCGGACGCGCACCCCTCCCCGCCGCGCAGGTACACAATCCACGACCGGGACCCGGAACCGGAACCTGGAAATAAACAGAAAGGATCAGTCACAAACCGGAGCCTGTACCTGAGGCCGGGCCTTACCTGGTCTGTAGTCTGGGCCTTACCTGGTCTGTAGTAGTACCCTGGGCCTAACCTGGTCTGTAGTAGTACCCTGGGCCTAACCTGGTCTGTAGTAGTACCCTGGGCCTTACCTAGTCTGTAGTAGTACCCTGGGCCTTACCTGGTCTGTAGTAGTACCCTGAGCCTTACCTGGTCTGTAGTAGTACCCTGGGCCTTACCTGGTCTGTAGTAGTACCCTGGGCCTTACCTGGCCTGTAGTAGTACCCTGGGCCTTACCTGGTCTGTAGTAGTACCCTGAGCCTTACCTGGTCTGTAGTAGTACCCTGGGCCTTACCTGGTCTGTAGTAGTACCCTGGGGCCAGGCCGTCCAGACAAAGTGCGCCCGTCTTCTGTGCCCGCGCCTTCGGAAGGACCCGTAACCTCGCCGCCTGCAGAATCTGGCCAAGCAGAAACAAGAAGTGCATCAGAAATGGCAGTTTATTAACGCAGTATTGTTTCTGTCAATCATTTTCGCTTCTTTAAAAAGTTATATCGTCTGGACACCCTGAACTAGCCCCTCCCCACAGCGTAATGTCCATGCAGAGGTGAGGGAAGACAGTATCAAACTTGCCAGCCTGTACACCTTTGCCAGACAGTATCCGTTTCCCCACGGCAAATTGATACAGGTTGGCAAATTTGATACTGCCCCCCCCCCCACACCGAAAAATCTTCTCGGAGATTACCACAGCGTTCTGGTAGTGCGATTCTTCTAACAACGTTAACTGGCTCATGCGACGCACTGAATTAATGACAGTTCATTACCTGACAGACATGAGGACTCACCAGACTGGCGTAATCCAGGCCGGGCCTGTCCAGGTCCAACTCCTCCCCCATGTCCAACTCCTCCCCCAGGTCTCCCGCGGTGTCTCCCAGATCATTTCTCCCTGTTCCGCTAGAATTTTCGTCTGGAACACTTTCCTCAGTCTCTTCCTCTCCGCCGAGCTCAAAAAACTTCTCAAACGATTCTCCGAACGTAGCATTGACTCCCGGGACGTCGTCGTGTGCCATGGGAACGTGCAGACTGTTGCTATCTGCCCTGGGAACGTGCAGACTGTTTCTAGGTGCCCTGGGATCGGCGGCAGGTACCAGTCCGGAGGAAGGGTAGATATAAGGCAGAATGGCGTACACCAACAACCCGAACACCACAGCCACTAACGCGGTACGTGTGAGCAAACCTGCCATGTTGTGCCGGCATGTTGGACCGCGGCAGTGCGTGTAGCCTGCGGCGATATGCGGGAATCCTGTTATCCAGGTTTGGGGACCTGAGGTCACGTCTGGCCTTGGTGCGACACAGGGACAGGGACAGCTGCGATTGTCACACAGTTCAGTTAAGGATCACTGTAATGATCACTGTAATGATGACATGGCTATCAGCAACCATGCATGGTTTAACAATAGTCCACGGTATAGCCTGTATGCCGACATTAGGCTCCTTTCTCCTGTCCTTTTGCACGAGTGCACATCCCGGCATTACACCACGGATCAGGGCTTAAATACAGGCGCCTCAGGCAGCATAACGGCTCACCTCACAATCACAGGTCGCTACATGTAGCTGCATTATCCAAGGACATCTGAGGATATAGCGAGGGCCGCCGAATGCCGCCGAATGCCTCCGAATGCCGCCGAATGCCTCCGAAGGCCGCTGGCGAAGGCCGCGTCGACAAACGTCACGCCTACTCCCGCCAACTTTGCGAGATGGCCCCATGACTATAGCGGGTCGGTGGACTGTCCAAATACTTAAGTACTTGTGTATAATTGACGGGAATCTTCCCGGGGGACCGAGTGCACAGTTTGCTTAATGTACAAAGCTACAGAAATTTCTTTTAAACAATCCGGCGGCCTGTCATCCCCTCTCATGGTCGTCTCATGTCACCCGGCCGTATAGAGCTGGAGGGTCACAGGGCCTCATTTAGCGCAGGCGCAGTAGGGAAAATTCGAGTACCCACTGTTGAACCCATCCAGACCAACTAAAACTTCCTTTTTCTTGGTACATGTTGATTAATGTTGGCATTTTCCAACTGTATTTTTTTTATTTTTATTTTGT